TCGTCAGCAACGGTGGTTGTATTCTGACGGTAAGGAAACCTCTGGCTGTCAAAATACAATGGCGCAGCAGGATGGCTTCCCCCATCAACAATGACTGTGTTGAAGGAGGAATCAAGCAATTTTCTTTCCTTCGACTCGTAGTTGAAGTAAAGAAAATTGCATAATGTATGGCCAGCCTAAGGCTACACCTGCTAGTGAAAATAGGTAAACATAAAATATTCAGGAATAATTTTTACCTACCTAAAAAAAAGGAGTAATGTTCTTTTTGGTCTTAAATATAATAACTAAAGAAAATATCCATTAGAAAAAATACAAAATAAAAAATAATTGTATTTTTTAACATACTTGTCAGTCCTGGTTATTATCACCCATGAGGTAAGCATGGACAACCCAAATATTCAATTGTTGGGAACTGGGAAAGGTGTGGATATGTATAGTTAGGAATGAGCTAAACTAAGAGTTTTTAAAATTTTGGTGTAAAATCAGAACTAGTACGAACTTCTCGATTAGGTCAACCAGGAGTTTGACTCAAACCCATGTTGTGGGTGGGTTAAGAAAATGGTGCAAACTGAAAAAAATAGGAGCTGTGGAAAATGCTCTCAATCAAGCTGAAGCCACTGCCAGACACTGCCTTCGCCTGCCATGGTGACACCACCCGGGACGTTGGTACTCCGACATCACGTGATTTGAAGCCAACAGGAGCGTTCTCCGATCTCAGCTTCCTTCAGAGCAGATGGGCCGTCCGTTGGAGTCACACTGTTCACTTCAGGCTGGTAAAATTTTATTATATTTGCTACTTTGTCTCATGCAATAAAGATGCACCTTCACTAAGGTGCTTGATTGAGAGCATTTTCCACAGCGCCTATTTTTTTCAGTTCTCTTCATCATGCAAATGATTAACAAGGCAGCAGTAAGTGAGCTCATGATTAACTGTTCACATGTTTCCACCTGAGTGGCCTCTCTGCGCTCATTTGTATGAGTTTCCCTGAGAAAATAGTGCACCAATGTTGCCTTTTTTCCTATAGCAACCTTCTTTCCCACAATGCACTTCCTAGCCCCTGAACTGTATAAAAGACTGCAGAGAAAGCTATTTAATTTTTTATTCTTTTATTTAATGCATGAAAATTAAATAAAGTATTTCACATAATTCTTTCAAAATAATCCAACAGGAAAAGATTATACAATATAGTTACATAGTTGAAAAAAAAGACACAAGTCCATCTAGTTCAACCAATAGATAAAAAAACACATACACACAAACAGAAAACCTCAATTTACACAATCCTATACCCACAGTTGATCCAGAGGAAGGCAAATGTAACCCCAACAAAGCATGATCCAACTTGCTCCAGCCGGGGAAAAAAATCCTTCCTGATTCCCCAGGAGGCAATTGAATATTCCCTGGATCAACTACTCCTGGTGTTATTACCTATAAATATTAGTATCCAAATGTATTTTGTGCATTTATGAAAGAAGCTAGGTTTATTTTTGTTTTTTTAAACAGCACAGAAACAGAAAAATATATCACAAGAAAGAACACAATTACAACAAGGCACAAAAAAAAGATACAAATAGAAAAAAAAATACTAAATCTCATATTTCCAGCTCCAAACCATCTCTGCCTTGTCAACCCTGTCAACCCCGAATTACTTTCCAATTCAGTAGCCATACAAATATAGATTTCTTCTTCATGCAGTTCACAAACAACCACAATGCCCTTGCTTCTTTTTTTTTCCTAACTTACATATATCGTACATCATCATATATGTCAAAACCTCCACTCCAGTCAGCGCTTTTATCAATTTACCTAATCTTTGCTACAAGTCATTAGCAAAGCCTCACTCCAAAATTATATGCACTATATTCTCATACCTTCTACACTGATCTGCTGGACATACTTAAATATCAAACAATCCAAAAGTGCACTTGACAGTAAAAAAAAGCTTCATTACCTGTGACACATTTTTGCAAAGCTCAATAGTGCAAAACCACTCACTTTTTATTAAAAGAAGGTTAAAAATGCACTTAAAATAATCAATATAGTAAAGAGCATCAAACACTAGCTAGTACAAGGAAACCAGGATGGCGCCTTGGGTTAATTCAACATGATGACATCACACTGGTCATCACAACTATGCTATGCAGCTTTATTTTGATTCTTGGATTGCCCTGGATCAGAATTGTGTTTAAAGAAATGGTGGATGATAGCAGCCCTTTGAACATGAATATTAGCAACCTTGAGAGGCTTATCTGGGGAGCAAATCTATTACATTTAGGGCTCATGTACACTGCAGCTGATAAACTGATGTTCAGGAGATTTTCTGCGTTTTTTTCAGCAGCCCCTGAACTCTCCCTAATGTTTTCCTATGTGTCCATGTACACATAGTCATTTACAGTTTACAGGCAGTTGAGTTTACAGTAATTTTTTTGAACGCAGCAAAATTGCATTCAGGAGTAGATTTTACCAGCATTTCAAACGCCAAATGCTTGTAAACACGGTTAACTGCGTTTATAAATGTTTGCGTTTAGAACTGTTTTTTGACTGGTCCATATCCAGGGCATGATTACCTAAGTGGTATCTTACCGCATCCGAGTATGTGGTAGGATACCGCATAGCATTTAAAAAAAAAAACTCATTGGAATCCACTAAAAAAGGCTACTAAAATTCAGCATGAGTTATTTTATCAAGTCATGCGGTCTTTTAGTAGTGAAAAGCATGCATTAATGTTTCAGCTGTCAGCGGGGTTCCCCACTGACAGCTGAATGTAACAAAGAGAATTAACGGCAATTAAAAAATCATTTTTAAAAACGGTGTGGGATCCCCCCTCCCATCCATACCAAGCCCTTCGGGTCTGGTATGGATTTTGAGGGGAATCCCCACACCAAAATAAAAACAAAATGACGTGGGTGTCCCCCCCCAAAATCCATACCAGACCCTTATCCGAGCATGCAGCCGGCAGGTCAGAAAGGGGGGGGCAAGCGCGAGCACCCTTCCTGAACCATACCAGGCAACATGCCCTGAAATTTTTCTTTTCACTTTCAAACACATTTTACATCTTCTAGCACAGTGGTTCTTAACCTTTTTGGAGGTACTGAACCCCACCAGTTTCATATGCGCATTCACCGAACCCTTCTTAATTGGAAAAATAAAATATGATTTTTAAAATTCAAAACATAGGTATATATTTATACATAGGTGCACAAAATGAACAAAACCGTTAAGAACAAAGAACAAAACCATTAAAACATGATTTTCACACAAAAACAAAATAATGAATATTTACCGCAAATCAGTGTGACTTCTGCTGTTGTCTTTCAGAGGCCAGTTCAGAAATGCGCGGCATTACCTTGGCAAGTGCCACTCTCATGTCATTTTCGCAACAAAGTCTGTTCCTTTTCTTCGTCTTTATGTCCAGCATCCTCGAAAAGGATTGCTCGCAAAGATATTTTGTAACAAACGGTATGAAAATTCATCCCCCATAGTAATTCATCCCCCATATAGTAATTCATCCCCCATATAGTAATTCATCCCCCATAGTAATTCATCCCCCATATAGTAATTCATCCCCCATATAGTAATTCATCCCCCATAGTAATTCATCCCTCATAGTAATTCATCCCCCATATAGTAATTCATCCCCCATATAGTAATTCATCCCCCATAGTAATTCATCCCCCCCATATAGTAATTCATCCCCCATATAGTAATTCATCCCCCCTATAGTAATTCCTTCCCCATATAGTAATTCATCCCCCATATAGTAATTCATCCCCCATAGTAATTCATCCCCCCATATAGTAATTCATCCCCCATAGTAATACATCCCCCATATAGTAATTCATCCCCCATATAGTAATTCATCCCCCATATAGTAATACATCCCCCATATAGTAATACATCCCCCATATAGTAATTCATCCCCCCATATAATAATTCATCCCCCATATAGTATTTCATCCCCCATAGTAATACATCCCCCATATAGTAATTCATCCCCCATATAGTAATACATCCCCCATATAGTAATACATCCCCCATATAGTAATTCATCCCTCATATAATAATTCATCCCCCATATAGTAATTCATCCCCCCTATAGTAATTCATTCCCCATATTAATTCATCCCCCATATTAAGTCCCCAAGTCCCCCCTGTGTCAATTCACTTACCTTTGCTCCGCGCGTTCTTCTTGCTGTATTCCCCCGCCGTTCCGGTCTTCAGGGCGGACTGTGAGAGGAGCCTAGCTCCTCTCACGTTCGTCACGCTGCCCCGCCTACACACATCCTGACAGCCAATCACTGGCTATCAGGATGTGAGTGGCAGCGAGACTGGCCAATCATTGCATTTGAGTCTCTGCCGCCCGAGAGGAGGGAGGGGAGCGGGCGCCCGGCACACAAGAGCCGCGGCTTGCCGACCACTGGGCTAAGCGATGTTGCGTGACCACCTGCAGCCAATGATGGACAAGCGGGGCATGTCATCACAAATCATATGAGTCGGGTGTGGGTCACCTCCGCCGAACCCCCGAGACTGACTCACCGAACCCCTGGGGTTCGATCGAACCCAGGTTAAGAACCACTGTTCTAGCACATTGATGTCCAATTTCCAAACCTTGTTCCATACATTTCCATACTATTATCTTTAATGCTCACTACACAGTTAACCATACCATGTCCATTTCCATTGCCACTAAAGAAGGTGAAAACCCCATCCCTCCCAACACCCCCATATATAATATAAATGTAATATAACAAATAACTTTTAACTCTTTATATTACAGCTTAAGGGGGGAGGGGGGTGGCGTTTGGCAGGTTGCAAAAATGCAATTCAACTACGCATTCTTGCCGTCCCCAACTGCAAGTCTAAACAAGGCCTAAGGCCTTATTCACATGGGACATACCATATTTTCCGGCGTATAAGACGACTGGGCGTATAAGACGACTCCCTACTTTTCCTGTTAAAATATAGGGTTTGAGCTATACTCGCCGTATAAGACTACCCCTCTTCCAACGCACACCAAATAAAAATGAAAAAACATCAGATTTGATTTCAGTATGGTATGGTATTTCAGTATGGTATTCCAATGATGGGGTGCTATTCCTCCCACTGACACCAATGATGGGGCGCTACTCCTCCCACTGACACCAATGATGGGGCACTATTTCATCCACTGACACCAATGATGGGGCACTATTCCTCCCACTGACACCAATGATGGTGCCCCATCATTAGTGTCAGTGTGTGAGGAATAGTGCCCCATCATTAGTCAGTGGGGGGAATAGTGCCCCATCATTGGTATCAATGGGAGGAATATTGCCCCATCATTGGTGTCAGTGGGAGGAATAGTGCCCCATCATTGGTGTCAGTGGGAGGAATAGTGCCCCATCATTGGTGTCAGTGGGAGGAATAGTGCCCCATCATTGGTGTCAGTGTAGGAATAGTGCCCCATCATTGGTATCAGTGGGAGGAATAGTGCCCCATCATTGGTATCAGTGGGAGGAATATTGCCCCATCATTGGTGTCAGTGGGAGGAATATTGCCCCATCATTGGTGTCAGTTGGAGGAATAGTGTCCCATCATTGGTATCAGTGGGAGGAATAGTGCCCCATCATTGGTGTCAGTGGGAGGAATAGTGCCCCATCATTGGTGTCAGTGGGAGGAATAGTGCCCCATCATTGGTGTCAGTGGGAGGAATAGTGTCCCATCGTTGGTGTCAGTGGGGGAGGAATAGTGCCCCATCATTGGTATCAGTGGGGAGAACAGTGCCTCATCGTTGGTGTCAGTGGGAGAGGAACAGTGCCTCATCGTTGGTGTCAGTGGGAGAGGAACAGTGCCTCATCGTTGGTGTCAGTGTGGAGGAGGAATAGTGCCCCATCGTTAGTGTCAGTGGGGGAGAGGAGCGGCTGCTCCTTCTTCCAGTGCGGCCGCTCGATTTTCGCAGGGCCGCTCGGCTCCGCCTCCTCGCCGGTGATTGGTCGCCTGTGTGCCTTTCCAGTGCTGGCGCCCAATCACCGGTGAGGAGGCGGAGCCGAGCGGCCGCGTGACCATCGAGCGGCCGAACTGAAAGAAGGAGCAGCCGCGCTTCCTGGACTGGATCGTAGTGGGACCGGAGCCAGGTAAGGTACAGCAGCCCCTCTGTCCACCCCTGTATTTAGTGTCCGCTGGAGGAGAAGGGGGGGGGCGTCGCCACGCCGCCCCTCGAAAAAGTGCCGCCCTGACACCGGCTCGCATCGGCGTATAAGACGACCCCCGACTTTTCAGAAGATTTTCAGGGGTTGAAAAGTCATCTTATACGCCGGAAAATACGGTAGTACAGCGAGGCCATGTTTATCTGCACAAGTATGCACAGGTATTCCATGCATTCCTGTGCAGGCAGTCCCATTCATATAAATATCCCAACTTGACATCTATGTGAGTTTATGTCCCTAACTCACACTGTGTGTTTGGGGCCATGCACCTACACCCGCACAGATGTCAGATCTGTCCTTGCAGCTGCTGTTTCCCAGTTGACATGAATTGGACTGCCTGCACACCTGTGCATTCCCATGTGGGTAAACACAGCCCTTCATGGGTGTACAATCTACCACACCCCATTGAACTAGGCCTTAGTAAGAATTTAGCAGGAATTGTGTAAGTTATGTTGTGGTTTTATGTGCAAATAAGGATTTCAATGGGTTTTTTTTTGTGAAAATAGTGATTTGATAAACATTTGTGCAACTATTGTGGTGCCTAAAAAAATAGTAGCACCTTCTTTTTATTCTACTGGTCATGTGCTTTCAGAAAATATATGGAAGGTCTTTTACAAACTCTGAAAGCTGTTAATTGAAAAATGAAAACCGCCAGATTTCTAGAGAAATTTTGCATACGTTTGATTTTCATCAATTTGCAAAAAGGCACACATATTTGTTTTTTATTAACTTAATACAAGTTTAGATTTTATATGTAGTAGGAATTTTGCTGTGCTGGTATCTGCAACGGGGTCTTAAAAAATCAGTAGCACCATTTTTTTTTATTCTACTGGTCATGTGCTTTCAGAAAATATATGGTTTAGGGGGCCTTCTATAATCCCTGAAAGCTGTATGTTAAAAATGAAAACCTCCAGATTTTTAGAGAAATGTGGTTATTTACAGTTTTGCATATGTTTGATTTTCACTATTTAAAAGGCACAATTTAAAATGTACACATATTTGTTATTTATCAAATCAATACAAGTTAAGCTTTTATTTAGCAGGAATTTTGTAAAATGTGCTGTGTTTGTATCTGTGAATAATGATTTTAGTGTATTTTTAACAAAAATAATTATTTGATAAACATTTGTGCAAGTATTGTGGGGCCCTAAAAATCAGTAGCATGTTATTTTTATTCTACTGGTCATGTGCTTTCAAAAAATATATGGTTTAGATGGTCTTTCACAAACTCTCAAAGCTGTAAGGGAAAAATTTAAAAAGCAATTGAAAAATTGCAAAAATGATTCGGCCATCTGGGTTTAAAAGTGGAGCGCAGGGCCTGGCAGTGAAAGGGTTAAGACAATCCCACCCTTGTTTCTTAGTAGACCCATAAACACAAAGATTTAGACACCACTACTACCATACCAATAATAAACTATTTTGGTTTTGATATTTTAATTTTGTCCTATGGTCACAGCATACACTTTCATTTTATAACCTCATCATTGTAATAGCATTACAAACAATTGTTATTTTTGACAACCCAGTATAAGCTTACTTGAAAAAATTCCTTTCATGTTGTGACTTCTGTCTGTTTGCTGACCATCTCTTTCCACATCTTCCTGGATTCTTTGTATCATTTTCAGCTTCTCCTCTGCTGTTTACTTCCAATTTCTGAAATCAATATATCCCACAGTACCTTGCTGCCTGAAAACACTAATTCATGTCCCGACTCTGCCTCCTGAAACTCCTCCTCTAAGTGTGTCTGTAGTTTAGAAGGCAGGCCCTGTGAATTCTTTGACACAGAAGTGACTACTCATAGAGCATACTGAATATACAGTATGTCACAGAATTCAAGTAAACGTGGGAATCTTCACAAAGTAAGTTTACAGACTTCAAGATCACTTATCTTAATAGGAGTAGGCTAGAAATAATTCAAATATAATGTGGTCATGAATATATGATTGCATAAATTTGATCATGGAAACACTTATTACACACCTCTCCTTTTCAATATATGCAAGCCTGTTGTCTTAAAAGTATTATGTTTAAAGAAAACAATAACCTGTTTATGTTTCCCTTGACAAAGGAACCATATGGCAGGCTCTCAAATCCAATGAACAACTTTGCACTTTAGGCAAAGAATATCACATGTGTGTCTCAAACAGTCTGAACACGGCAACCTGTCTGTACACAGACCTTATCCTATGTATGTTTAAAGAGGATACCCTCAGTAACATTTATTCAAAAGATTTATTTTATTCAACATTTTGCACCTGATATGTGCGTGTTGGGTCCCCTGAGTTTCCTCCTACCCTTATCCATCATTTGTTTTTGTTTACAAACATTTTTATTAAGAGGTAGACTACAACAACTAAGTGAGGTAGAACAGACATTTTGAAATATATACATGAATATTACACCCTGTTCCAAATTATTATGCAAATTATATTTTTCTTATTCACCTAAATAATTGATGTAAATAACAGTCAGCATAATTCTCATGTTATCAACTATTAAGAGTACAATTCAAATTTTATTGAGCAAACCTCCTGATAACAGTATTTTTTTTAAACATAAAAAAAACTTCTAATGCACTGTTCCAAACTTTTACGAACATTTTAACTTTTTAAACATTTTAACAGGTCACGTTACATTTTAACATAGGACCCCTTATTTGATAGCAGCTTCACAAGTCTTACATCCATTGAACTTGTGAGTTTTTTGGACAGTTTCTGCTTGAATTTGTTTGCAAGATGTCAGAATAGCCTCCCACAGCTGCTGTTTACATGTAAACTGCCTCCCACCCTTATAGATCTTTTGCTTGAGGATGCTCCTAAGGTTCTCAATAGAATTTAGGTTAGGGGAGGATGGAGGCTACACCATGGCTTTCTCTCCTTTTATCCCCATAGCAGCCATTGATGCAGAGGTATTCTTTGCAGCATGAGATGGTGCATTGTCATGCATGAAGATGATTTTATTACGGAAAGCATAGTTCTTCCTTCTGTACCAGGGAAGAAAGTGGTCAGTCATAAACTCCACATACTTTGCAGAGGTCATCTTTACACCTTCGGAGACCCTAAAGGGGCCGACCAGCTCTGTTCCCATGATTCTGGCCCAAAACATGACTCCTCCAGCGCCTTGCTGACGTAGCAGCCTTGTTGGAACAGGGTGGCCGTCCACCAACCATCCACTACTCCATCCATCTGGACCATCCAGGGTTGCACGGCACTCATCAGTGAACAGGACTGTTTGAAAATTAGTCTTCATGTATTTTTCTGCCCAATGCAGCCATTTCTGCTTGTGAGCATTGGTTAGTGGTAGTCAAATAGAAGGTTTGTGCACAGTTGCAAGACGCTGGAGGACTCTACACCTTGATGTCCGTGGGACTCCAGAGGCACCAGCAGCTTCAAATATCTGTTTGATGCTATGTAATGGTGTTTTAGCAGCTGCTCTCTTGATCCGATGTATGGATCTGGCAGAAATCTTCCTCAATGTGCTTTTATCTGCACAAACCCATCTGTGCTCTGAATCAGCCACAAATCTCTTAATAGTGCGATGATCACGCTTAAGTTTTCGTGAAATATCTAATGTTTTCATACCTCGTCCAAGGCATTGAACTATTTCACTCTTTTCAGCAGCAAAGGGATCCTTTTTCTTCCCCATATTGCTTGAAAATGGTGCTCTGCTTAATAATGTGGAACACCCTCCAGTAGTAGTTTTTTTACTTAAATTGGACTCACCTGCCAATCTAATTATCACAGGTGTCCGAGATTGTTTTCAGTGATCAAAAGAGCCCCAAGACACAATGCTATCCATGAGTTAAACTGAAAAACAAAATATTTAATCTTTGTGACACTTAAATAGAATTTGCATAATAATTTGGAACAGGGTATAAACAGAAATGCAAAATACAAGTATAACAAGAAAAAAAGAAGATAAGCACATGTAGAAAGCAGTCAACAATATCAGCAGATCAAGCACAAAATCACCTGAGGTTCAGTACAGAAATACCTATTAATGACATCAATCGAGTAATAAGTGTCGATGCGTCTTCCAATCATCTGAGTTACTGTTAAATAAGGGCAACCTATCTAGCAACGTATATTGAATATGTTCCATAAGCATAACCATATCAACTCTCTGCAAGACAGAAGCCAAAGAAACCACTGGAGACTTCCAATAAAGGGCAATCACCCATAAAGTAGAAGTGCAAATAGTATGAATCAGCCTCATTTGGTTAGCTGGGATCCCCGAAAGCGACACCCCCAACAAACAAACTTACAGGGATAAATCAACCTGAGAATCCATCAGTGCAGATACCACATCCGAAATCCTACGCCAGATCAAGGAAAGACCAGAACAATCC